AACACAGAATATGATGGAAAACTTTGTATTTGTCACAATACGATCCCTTTGAAACAATCTTGTCTCTCCCCAAGACCCTATTAAAATGAAAAAAGGCTAGTCCCAGTTTGCATTACATGTTCCGTGTGCTTTTCCACGGGGTTCTGCACAATTCTGCTCATATAAGACACCTACAAGCGTCCTGATAACTCAACCCTGAATCCGAAAACTTAACTCCAAAGCTTCAACCCCAACCCTACACCCTAAACCCTAAACCCTAAACCCCAACCACTAGGCGCCAAATTGGGGTTAGCCAGGAGCCCGCAGCTCTACTGCCCTTGGGTTCTTAGGGTTCAGAGTGTAAGGAATTATGGAGAATCAACTGGAAAAGGGGGTTATAGGGGAGAGATGTACGAATATATATGGGGGTTTCCCATAATTAGGGGGTACCTTTTTGGGGGTCCCCATGATAAGGACTATAGTATTTTAGGGTCTATATTGGGGTTCCCCTATTTTGGGGAAGTGCCACATATATATATATATATGTACACATATAGGGTGCACGATTTAGTGCTAGGACTTAGGATACGGGAGAACCAAATGGAAAAGAACATGGAAAACATGGAAAATGCAATGAGCATTTGATGATGGTAGTCGTGCATTTTCCCTACCTGCAGAATACAGAACTCTCAGTGATAGACCTCAGCAGGGATGCACAAGGAAGGCCCAAAGGGAGAAAACGCAGAATACACTAGGTCTACTAGGAATATGGTGGCAAAGTCTTACATGTCTATGAGGAAACTTATTCTTGAGACTTCATGTCTGGGGTTGTCAATACCTTGGTCCGTTTGCAAAGAAGTACTACAGTGCACTAGCCAATTCTTACCAAGAGGCTCTTAAACAAACCTTGAATCTAGATCCCGGAGCCCAACCGTGAATGAGACAAGGGGTCAACTACGTCTTAAGAGCAGGCGCAGCCCGCACCCTAGCAAGCCTAGTAAAGTCCCTCATGCACAGACCACCAAAAAGGACCAGCTGCTAGAATATGCTTGAAACCCAAGGATCTACGCCCCGCCAAACTTAACGCCCAAACCCTAAACCCTGCGCCCTAAACCCAAGGCCCTGAATCCTGTAGCCTTCAGGCCAAAGGCGTCCACAAAGCTGCCCACAAAAGGGCCCAGTATCAAGCCCACGATTGTCGTACACAAAACCTGGCTTATGCTGTAGGGTTTTTGGGTTCGGGACCTCGGGGTTTTAGGATTCGGTATTTCGAGATTAGGGCCCTGGGTTGGGCCGGAACGGTGGCCCCCCAAAAAGGGGAAGAAGGACACGCTGGCTGGAGAGACCTGTTGCATTTTGCAAGGAAAAGGCCTTAGATCCTGCTTGCCTTTGCAATGCTACTGTGACCCCAGATATGGCTCAAAGTCTATGCGTAATCTCATGAATATTGGGAAACCTCAAGCAACAGGCAAGGATGCAAACAACAGAAGGGTTTTCTACGTCCAGTACGAGGCCATTTTTCCTTAGAACTATATGCAGTGCTTGATGTGATGTTAGCAATGGACATAGGGCGGGAAAATGAGAATTGGTTAAACAAAAGGAGATCCATAATTTGAGAAACTCACAAAACCCCAACCCTAAACCCAAATCCCTGAAGCATAAACTCAAACTCTGATCACTAAACCCAATACATATGTATAATCTTACACATTTACGAGTATATACATATATACATACATTTCACGCGCATCCTGGACCTAACTTGAAGACTTGCAACATTGATGTCCGCGAGCTTCTCGCCATCGGCTTTGTGTCCAAAGAGGACCTGTCCAATGTAGAGATGAGGGTCTTGAGTAAGTATTTTTTGAAGGGATAAGAGGCCTATACACGCTATAGAAGGTAGAGCGCAGGCATCCTACGTAAACCCTAAACCCTAAACCCCTAAACCCTAAACCGTATGTTGGGGCCCAGGGTGGAGGGGCGTAAATTAGCAGAACAGTGGCGAATCGAGCGAACAATCTATCGGAAAATAAATTGGACGCTGGATTTGTGTAGGGGTTATATTTTGGAGATGGTTGCAGGGGCCTGACTAGTTCAAACAGTGAGGATGAGCTTATGATAGTACACCATAATATACTATAGGGAACATTTAGGAACAGCAGCTGCTGAATATTCAGGCGAATACTTTGAAATTACGTTTTGAGGCGGGGTTTCCTGTAGCATCCCCGAGGGGCTTCTCTAATGAGAATTCGTTTTTGGGTGTATGAGGGTTTGGGTCTGCCAAATATGTAATGTCTTGGTGCTAGGGGGAGCTAATTAACGAATGCTTCTAGGGCTTTGTATGACAAAGACTTTCCCAGACCCTAGACCCTAAACCCAGGCAATCTCCCATTCAAGGTCTGCACCAGCATCAAGAACAATTGCCCGGAACAGCCCTGCATAGTTAGGGTTTAGGGTAACCAACATGGAGCCCATGTAGCCTCCTCTTCAAAAGGGGCAGTGAACTATATAGGGCACCTTTTCAGCTTCCGTGTTAGTCTGGGAGCTGTCTAGCAGGTGCACACATATGCCATGGACTAGGGTAGCTACACCCGAGAACTTAACTATCATGCCGGTGCCGACCCCTGAATCCACAACTGAACCCCGAACCCTGCGTCCCAAACTAGAGGTATGATGTTGGGCCTTCTGGGTTCCCTCTGACTACCTCCCCCCATGTTCCACCCCCATTTTCGTGCTCATGGATAATTACGGTTGATTGAGGCTGCCTGATTACGGGGCAACCTTAGGGGCGTAGTATAAGGAGGGGGTTTAGTATCAGGGCTTATGCGAACACAGAAATTGCTCCGAACCCCAAACCCTAAACCTGACCCTAAACCCTCAGCCTGGAACCTATCTCCCTAAGCCTCGATCTCTCAACCCTAGACCCTAAACACAAGACGTACTGGGGAATTCGTATGGAACAAGGGAACATCATATATAGGGAACATATAGGGATCATATTCCCTTCGCCCCTACAAACCACAAAGAAAGAAGAGGGGGCAGAAAGTTGCCCACCTCGCCGTAGGCCGCCGCCTCTGAAGAATACATCAGAGGTAGGATCAAGCCAAGGGCCAGAACAAAAGCGGAAATGCAATGGTCCTGCATGGGATTTAGGGGTTTAGGGTTTAGGGTACATGGTTCCAAGGCTTTGGGATTGGGGATTATAGGACTTAGGGCAGAGTGTTTCAGTTTTGCGGTTAACTGGACCGAAGCCCGGCCAACTATCCTTATGGTGCAGGATTCCCTCGTCCATCTGAGTAGAGTAGCTTCCACCTCTTACATGATCATTCTGATTGCTGCTCTTGCTCTGGGCGCTTGACAGCATCAACACGGACTACTATGATCGTATGCTACTGCTACTGCTGCATTTCTGGTGATGCTACGGCAAGACTCACAACCATTCTCCTGCCGATTCTGCCGCAGCACGTCCATGCAACGCGACATCATCTCCTGATTACTTGTTCAGTTCAATCAGGCGACAGCAACTCGACTCGAAACATATTGCCTCCCTAAATTATGCAAACCCGTCCCCCAGATGACGATTATACTCAAGCTTGCATACTACCATATGAGCTATAATCTAAACTCCTTACAGGGGGTAATATGGGGTATTATATAGGGGACTATTATAAGGCTTATAAAGGGGGATACTAGGAGTTTAGACTACAGCTCATATGTAAAGGGACCATTTGCTGCTGGGGGAGGGAGCCCAGGAGTGGGAGGTTCGGCGCGTGGAGGGGGATGACTAAAACAACATGAGCGAATACGAACTCTACTGGACAAAACAGTAACAATGATAACAGTAACAATAACAAGAATAAAAGTAATACAAATAAATACAATAACAAATATTACAACTAAACGTAATAATAGGAAATTTCACGGTTTTCTAGTGGGAGCCAGGTCTAGACCCCAAGCCTCTATTCCAACATGAAAACGTAATGATCTTCTCCAACGCAGGGCGGTAGCCGCTAAACTATGAATCCTAAACCATCCTAAACCCCTGCCAACATAAACGAAGAGTGTCGCACGGCTTCATTTCAGTTGGAGGCTTTGGCAAAGGCACGCCAAGAACCTTCTTTGCCTGCTGGTAATATTCTGCCTGCGCAGCAGTCATAACATTATTTACTGGTGCTTAAGGGAGAGTGGGGGAGGGGATCCCTATAATAATCCCTATACAATCCCCACGTATACCCCAATGGTACCTATATTCACCCCCACACTTCCCCTTTAAGCACCAGTAGGATTAGGGTCGCAGGATTTGGGTGCCTGCACAGCAGTGCAAACACTGATAGCAAGGGGTCACCCCCTTGAGGGGGTTTATAAGTGTTTAGTTCCAATTTGGGACTGCGGAAGAGAGTTCTGGGTTTAGTCTATCCCTCGAAGCCATAAGTTGGATTTCTGTTAAGGAACTTATGCTAAATTACCATTATGAGGAAACTTTATTGTCTAGTATATACACACTAAAGTCAACTTAGCTTGAGTGCTTTGCTATCTGGGGACAGTAGTGGTAACACTGGTTGTGCAATTTCCGAACCTTTGTCTGTAGCAAGTAGCGAACATATGGAAAGGATCTAACGAAGATTAACGAAGAACACCCTAAACCCTAAACCTTAAACCCTAAACCCTAAACCACAACCCCTAAACCCTAAACCCTAAACCCTAACCAGGTTTGTAGGCTTCGTCTCTGAGAGTGCTGGCGCGTAGGTTGATACGGACGGTTGTGGAACCCTGGTCCTGAGGGTCCAAGGACCCAAATAAAAGGGTTTTAGGGCCCAAATACTATTAATACTATAGTATTTGGGCCC